TCAAGCTTACTTTTGGGATACCAATCTGCACAAGGATCTTGGCCACTGCCCACCACCAGAGATTCATCTTCCCAGTCCATATCTGAAGAACTGGTGGGCAACTGGGTCCCTTCATCAGGCAGAGGGTCTTCAAGATTCCTCAGGCACCCTTTTGCCTCTATCCGGGTCACTTCTTCACGATCATCTGGAGCTTGTCTTGTATCTCCATCAACCAGAGAATCAGATTCTTCTGCCAAAGAGTCAGTCTGACATTCTGCTGGGACAAAGGGTGAGTTTCTCACACCTACTACTCTAGAACAGTCTTCTCTGTCGCAAATGGGTTCTTCTGGGCTAGCTTTTGTTTGCTCAACTTTCCCCAAAATGGACACGCTGTAGTCATCCACCTCCAGAGACTCAGTGGTTTCAAGCAATGAACATCTGCATTCTTGGTTGGTTGTGCCCAACTTTGCCTGACTTTTGCCACAACTTGGTGAAGTTGGGCACAACCCCATGGTAGCCGAGGTAGCATCATTCCCTTGAATGCCTGTTTTTTCAGAAACATCTATTGAATCAGTCATCATGTTTTCATTTGGTGATGAACAAAACTCTCCACGTCCTTGAACTCTGGCTTGTAAGTCTCTCTCTTGGTCATCGAAGATGGAACTCTGTTCTAAACATTCATCCGCCCATTTCGAGTCAACGTGGGAAAGCTGGTCAGTTGGGCAACCCTCGTCATCACTCTCAGGAGGTGTCACACACTCCAGCATTACTGAATTAATCCAATCTAAGCCCATATTCTTTTTAGCGCTCATTTCTTCGCTCTGAACTACCATGGCACATACAGTGTCTACCAACTCATTAATTAAAGTGTTGATATCTTCAGCTACAGCAACCGCGGTAACAGTCAGTTTTTCAACACCATCATCAGATGCTATTTCTTGACTTACAGAAGAATCTCTGACAATCTCTTGAACCAAACATGTTTCACTCTTGGAGTAAGTCTCAGATTCCACATTGGGCAACTCCAAGCTCAGATATTCTTTTGTATGCTGTAACTCTTCTCTCTGTATGGTCTTCTGTTCCTCTTGA